ATTACAAACAGTCTACTGTTTGCATAAAGTTCAAAAATAAACTAAACTATGATGGATGGCAACAGACTTTTGGTGGTAAACAGGACGCAGTCTATACAGAAGCCAAAATATAATGATGTACATCTGAAATTTAGACAATGTTATAAACCAATGTGACCTTAATAAAAAAGAATTATGATATATAGGATAGATATCGTATGTCATGTTTAGATAAGTAAAATGGTTTTAAATACAGTCATGTATATATAAAGAGAGAGATTACATCATTAAAACAATATTATTGGGGCCGGCCTGGTGGTGTAGTGATTAAGTTTGCACACTCTGCTTCAGCGGCTTGGGTTTGCAGGTTCGGATTCCAGGCATGGACCTACACACGGCTCATCAAGCCATGGTGGCATCCTGCATACAAAACAGAGGAAGACTGGCACAGATGTTAGCTCAGCAACAATCTTCCTCACCAAACAAACAAAAAAACAAATAAATAATATTACTACCAAAGTAAGAGAAACTGAAAACATATAATTTTAGGCATACATAACTATATGATGAAGCTAAACTTAAAAAACAACAACAAGGAGAAGCAACCCAAGTGTCCATTGACAGATGAACGGATAAACCAAATGTGGTCCATCCACACACTAGAATGTTCTTTGGCCATAAAAAGGAAGGACATTCTGGCCCGTGCTACAACATGGATGGACCTTGAGGACATTATGCTAAAGGAACTAAGCCAGATACAAAAGGACAAATATTATGCAATTCCACTTTTATGAAATATCTAGAATGAGTAAATTCCTGCAGACAGAAAGTAGACAGAGGTTACCAGGGGCAGGGAGAAGGGAGAATGGGAAGTTATTACTTAATGGGTGCAAAGTTTCTGTTCTGAGTGATTAAAGGGTTTTGGAAATACTGGTGATAAACATTATGAATGTAATGAATGCCCCTGAATTATACTTAAAAATGGTTAAGGGGCCTATCCTACAATTCAACTCACTTCTGACGCTATCCACCTGGAGATAGCATCAGATCCCACAGGTTAAGGGCTCAGTCCTATAAGACTGTCTCCCCCTCCACTGTGGACTCCAGTTGCAAGCCCAGGTTGTCACCGTGCTTCTGACCTACTGGCTATAGATGGGAGGTTCCCAAGATCTCCTCCACGGGTTCAATTAATTTGCTAGAGTTGTTCATGGTACTTACCAGATCACTGGCTTATTATAAAAGGCTATAACTGACGAACAGCCGGATGGAAGGGATGCACAGGGCAAGGCATGGGGAAAGGGTGAGGAACTTCCGTGCCCTCTCCGGGCGTGACACTCTCCCCAAATCTCCACGTGTTCACCAACCTATAATCTGTCTGAACGCAGTCCTTACGGCTTTTGTGGAGGCTTCATGACACAAGCATGATTGATTAAATCATTGGCCACTGATTCAACCTCCAGGCCCTCTCCCCTCCCCAGAGGTCAGGGGGTGGCACTGAAAGTTCCAACCCTCTAATCAGGTAGTTGGCTCTCCTGGCAATCAGCTCTCGTCTTTAGGTGTGATCCAAAAGTCACCTCATTAACATAACAAAGACATCTTGATTGCTCTCATCACAGGAAATTCCTAGAGTTTTAAGAGCTCTGTGCCAAGAACTGGTAGAAAAACCAAACATATGTATTTCTTTGTTTTTCCTTCTTCTCCCCAAAGCCCCCCAGTACGTAGTTGTATATTCTAGTTGTAGGTCCCTCTGGTCTGCCCTGTGGGACGCCGCCTCAGCATGGCTTGAGGAGCAGTGCTAGGCCCAAACTCATATATTTCTTACTATAAACCACATCACCACAGTCAGAAACAAGAAGGTTTGGAGAACAGGCGTGTGGAGGTCCCTAATGGGGAATGGGGATCCTTGCATCTCCGCCAACGGCCCCTGGGCAGCGTTCGAGGCAGAGCAGGAGCTTAACCCCCAGGCAGACAGAGGGGACCATGTGGTAGAGGTCGGCCAGCTTCCCTCCAGGGTGCGTGGACCCACGAAGGCAGTGGCCGTGGTGGAAGGGCTGGAGGCTCTGCACCAACAGCAAAGGTTTCCTCTCGCCAAGGCTGGTCTCCATACTGCCACCACTGAGTGCCCAACCCATCAGCAGCAGAGACCAATGCTGAGCCCTCAATGTGACGCCTTTCTTCAAGGGGCCTGACCAGCTGTTTGGTGGCAGGTTGATTACACTAGACACCTGCCACCCTGGAGGGGCAGTAATTGGTCAGATTCCGGATTTGGACTTGCCTTCCCTGAGCACAGTGTCTCTGCCAGCAATCCATGAGGGCTTGCAGAACACCCAATCTGTCGGCATGGCGTGCCACACAACAGTGCTTCAGAGCAACGGACTCTTTTTCCACGGAAGGAGGTGTGACAATAGGTACGTGACCCTAGGAGCAGCTGACCCTGCTATATACTGTATCACCCACAAGCACCCAGAGCCTGCTGAAGGCTCAGCAACGACGCCAGCCCAAGGAAGATCCCCAGTGGGGTTGGGGAGCATTACTCTATAATGTGACAAATGCCCTGAAATAACGGTCAATACTCGGTGCTGTGAGCTAAGGAGTGGGTGTAGGATGGGCTGCTCTCGCCATCATTCCAAGTGACCCATCTGGGGAATTTGTGCTTCCTATTTCTGAAACCTTAGGCCTTCCTAGGCTAGAGGCCCCAGTTCCTGAGATGGGGATACTGCCTCCAACAGGGGTCATGGTAAGGGCTCTGCTGAACTTGAAACAAAACCTACCATCTGATCAATGTGGGCTCCTTAAGCTCATGGGCCATGCAGCCAAGAAACGATTGCTATATTGGTGGGACAACTGATTCTAAGCGCATCAGGAGCTAGTGTTGCTGCTCTCCAAGGAGAGCAAGAAGTAGGTCTGCAACTCGGATTCACTAGGGTGTCTCTTGGTATTTCTTTTTTCTTTTTTTTTTTGAGGACGATCAGCCCTGAGCTAACATCTGCCAATCCTCCTCTTTTTGCTGAGGAAGGCTGGCCCTGAGCTAGCATCCGTGCCCATCTTTCTCTACTTTATATGTGGGACGCCTACCACAGCATGGCTTGCCAAGGGGTGCCATGTCCGCACCCGGGATCTGAACAGGCAAACCCCAGACCGCCAAAGTGGAATGTGCGCACCTAACCACTGCGCCACCGGGCCAGCCCCATTTTTTAAAATTAATTTTGTTATTTTACTTCATTTATTTTATATTTATTTATTTATTTTTTGAGGAAGATTAACCCTCCCACTTCTATGCACTGTGGCTTTGTCACTCCTCCCATCAGGAGGCACAGTCTATTTCTGTAGGCCTTGACTCTGGACTTGGCTATGTGGAGTGGGGAGAATTACGTCCTCCAAAAAGTTCAAGTCCCAATCTCTGGTGCCTGTAAATGCGACCTTACTTGGAATTAGTGTTTATAGACATAATCAAGTTAAGAAGAGGTCCTGCTGAATTTGAGTGGGCGCTAATCCAATGACCCGTGTCCTTATAAGAAGAGGAAAAGTTGGACACAGACACAGAAGAGACATAAGGAGAAGAAGGCCGCGTGAAGACAGAGGCAAAAACTGGAATGATGCGGCTACAAGCTAAGGAACACAAAAGATTGCTGGAGCCACCAAGAAGCTAGGAAGAGGCAAAACAAAGGACCATCCCCTGGAGCCTTCAGAGGGAGTATGGCCCCGCCAGCACCTTGATTCTGGACTTGGAGCCTGCACAACTATGAGAGAATACATTTCTGTTGCTTTAAGCCACTTAGTCTGTGATCCTTTGTGGTATGGCAGTCCCCTCTTCGGGTCTGGGGCAGATGATTCTGAGATGCACTCTATCCAGCCGCTAGCAGGGTCAAGTCCCAGCAGCTCCCAGTGCCCACCAACTTGAGAATGCACCCTCGTATTGGCTTTCGTCCCCTGAAACCACTTTCCAACATAAGCAACCTGCACACCAGCTCTTGTCTCAAGGTCTGCTTTCTGGGATGCCCACATCCCTTCTCCAGACTCCAGGAAGGCCCGCTGTGCCTGATTTTCATCCTCGAAACCAGGAGTCAGGGAGGAGAGATGGACTTTGGAGGGGCCTTCCCCAACCGCTGCCATCTAATTAAACAGCCCTGTGTGGTTAATGATGCTGTCACTTGCCAAAGCCTGGAAATGAAGCGTGCAGCAATTTAATCAAGTGATCTTCTGCAGCCACGGGGCTTGGCCTTAGCAGCTCTCCCCAGCACCCCATGGGAACCCAGCCCTCAATCCGATGCTGCTTTCTAGGCAAAGGCCTTCTCTCTTCAGGCATGTCCAAGAAGCGAGGACAGGTTGTGGAAGAGGAGGAGATGGAGGGAACATTAAAGCGGTGTGCCTGAGCTCGGGCTGAAGCTGAAAGAGACAGGTAGGCAGAGGACCCAGGCGGGCCAGTCCTGCGAGAGCGCGAGGGCCCCGGGGCATCCCATGCCGCTTGGCGCTTGGCCAGCTCTCCTCACGACCCACCCCATCTCATGCTTTTTTCTGTTTCTTCTTTTTTAATTTTAACAAAGGTGTCGACTTCACGACAGCGAGGGAACGGCTGAGTTGAAGGAGAGAAGCAGTCATTAAAGGTAAGCCGGAGGGCGGGGTAGAGGGATTCGGGCTGCTGTGTGGAGGACCTGGGAAAGGAGCTGAAATCGCTCCCCCTTCCCGAGGCCCCGAGCTCTCTGGCGGATCGCGGGAGGCGCTCCTCCAAATAGGACCTCTGTCTCCCGGGCCGGCACCGCGCAGGCTGCACGTCCAGTGCCGCGCGTCCGGGGACCCGACGCCAGAGGTCGCCGGGAGCCAGGGACCCCCAGCCGCCTGGGTCAAGGCCCCGCCCCCGGCTTCCCGCGCCGGCTCCCGTGGCCTCCAGCCGCCCGCGCTCTCACCCAGCCCGGCTCCCCTCCTCCGCGCGCGTGCGCCCCGTCCCGGCGCCCCTCCCCCGCCGCGGGCGCGCGCGCGTGCCCGTCGTCCCGGGCGGGAGCTGGAGACGGCGGGGCCGGCTGCGGGCCGGAGAGCGGGCGCCCGGAGCGCCGGGAGCGTGTCCGCGCGAGGCGGGAGCGCGGGCGCCGACCTGGCCGCGGGCGGGAGCCGCCGTCGCGCCGCCGTCCCCCAGTCGGCGGGCCAGGCCGCGGCGCGGAGCGCGAGGGCCGGGCTCCCCGGGCCTGCGGCCATGGGCGGGAGCCGGAGGCGGCAGCCGCAGCGGCGGGCCCCGCAGGCGGGGAGGCGCGCGGCCCACGGCCCCTGACGGCCTCCAGCGGTCCGGCGCGCCCCCGCGTCTCCTGGGGGGACCGTAGCCAAGCAACGCCCGGCACGCCCGCCCATCCCCCGCCGCCCTTTTTCTCCTGGCCGGGTGCGAGGGAGCATGCCCACGCCTGGCCTCAGCCAGCTAAGAGTTAACCCCAGGGGCGTGGAGCTGCCTCCCCCTTGGGGGCGTGTCCCCCTTCCCGCTAGGCGGCCTGCCCCCCCGCGCTAGGGTATGGCCCCCGGCCCCAACCCGGGGCCCGAGGTCCCGCGCACGGGTCAGTGAAAGGCGTTTTCCCGTTCCCGCCCTCCTTCTCTCACCGGCCAGCACCATGGGATGTAATATGTGCGTGGTCCAGAAACCGGAGGAGCAGTACAAAGTGATGCTTCAGGTAGGGCGGCTGGGCCGCTGGGGTGAGGGGCGTGGGCGCCAGCAGGGGCAGAAGCCGGCCTGGGGAGAGGGCCTGGTGGAGCTGGGGCCGCAGACGTGGGAGGGCTGGAGGGCTTGAAGAGAAGGTGTGGAGCCATTCTCGCGCTCAATTTCTGGGGCTGGTGGGTGTTGGCGGTCCGTGGGAACCAGTCACAGATGGGGGGAGTTGTGTGGGGATGGGGGTGCGGGCGCATCCCTTGGGCGCCCAGACTAGATTGGAACGCGAGCCCCGGGTCCAGATCGGCACAAGTAGGGAAGTTGGGCTCGGCCCGGGTTCGGGACGCTTGCACCCCGGGCCTGGGAGTCGGGAGGCGCGGTGCTGCAGGCGCCAGAGCAGGATGGAGGTTGCATAGCAACGGGCTCCGTTCCCCGCACACGCTCGCCCAGCTGGACCCAGGGCGGGGGAGGGAGCGGGACGGCCAAATTCAGGTCCCTGCGGGCCAGAGGCGCAAGAGCGCGCGGGCGGCCCGGGGCCCCGCCGACGTCTGGCCGGGGCCGAGGTGCCTACCGCGGCACCCACTCTCCCCTCTGGCCCTGCCCAAACAGTGGTCTCCCAGGCCTTGGGTGCCTCGGGTGAGCGGCCGCCTCCAGGGTCAGCGGTGAGGGCCGTCTGCCGGCGGCGGTGCCCGGTCTGCTCTCTGCCTCGCAGGGCCTCAGGCCCTGGGCCGCGGGGAGCGTGGATCGGGCGGTGCACGGCGGGGAAGAAGGGGAGACGCCGGGCCGCGCGCTCGAAGCCGGAGCGCAGCCCCGTGGGCCGGAGCGGGGCTTCCTTGCCTGTGCGTGGCGTGACTTCGTGAGTGTGTGCCTGTGCCCCGTCTGTGTGTGCGCGGAGGCTCCTCTGGCCCCTCGTGTGTGTACTTTCTGTGTGCGCTCTGAGAGCTGTCTAGAGAAATGTCCCGGATGGCGTTGCTTGAATCGCCCCCAGGGCTAAGTGGAGGGAGTTCAAGGTCAGAGGTTGTTGGGTCCCAGGGGCACTCCGGGCGCAGACAGGTATACGCTTCAACTGCGGGTTTATTATCTGTTAGGAGTGGGGAGCAAGTGCAGGCCGGAGCGGTGTTAGCTAGGGGAAGCACCTTCCTAGCACCCCCTAGAAAAATAGGGGGAACCCCGACAGGCATCGGAGGGGGCTGGTGGAGGGGGGAGAATCAATCATCAGGTGACTGTGGATGCTGGGAGCCCAGCGTGCCTGCTGTGACTCTAGTTCCTCTGGCCACCGTTAGCGGGAGGGGCTCAGGCAGGTGGGGGAATCTTGCCCTAGCCTCGTGGTGCTCCTCATCCCCTCTCCCAGGGTGGGTCACCGGGGGCACAAGGGGCTCTCTGCTTTTCCCTTTCCCGATGGCTGCCCTCCGCCTTCTTTCTGCCATTCTCGCCCCCCACCCCCCTCCCCGACTGCTTTCTCTTGTCTCTTGTTTCTGGTGTTTGAAAATCCTGCCTGGCTATTACCATTGCCCCCTCTTGGGCTGGGTTCTGGGATGACCCAGGCCAGCACTGGGAGGCAGTGCTGTGGGAATCCCAGTGGTGGACGCTGGGGATGCCAGTGGGAGGTGGGCTGCGGTGACTGGTTGATGAGGCTATGGGATCCCATCCTCACTGCTTCCTTTCTTGGAATCATTCCATCAGATGGCAAGTTATTCCAGAGCCGTTGGCTCTTGACTTCCTTGGAGAGGGGTGGATGTAGTATTTCACTTAAGGCTGCCCATGTGTGGGTGCGTGGACAGCAGAGGGCAACCTGTGCTGCACCACAGGCTTGAAATGAGCCAAGGCTGGGGGGTGACACTGCGGTCACAAGTTGGGCTGGGACTGCCTTCAGGGAGGCTCCATGTCGGAGTGGGGCTTGAGGTAAACCTGGGCAGGAAAGCCCTGCGCCAGGCTTTCCACCTTGAGAGAGAGCCCTAAGTCCTGGGCAAGTAGGTTCTCAGGAGAAGGGCTGCTGCAGGCCGGCCGCCCACCGCTTTTTCCTGGTCTGGACTGTAGCCATCACTGACCAGTCCCTGGGGACGCTGCTCCCTTTTAAAGCTCCTGCAGAAGTTTGGACAGTATTGGAGACTAGAAGCAGCTTTAAAAGAGGAATTATCCTTTAAAATTAAGGGAAGACAAAGAGAATTGAATTTAAGAAAATCTGGAAAGTAGGGAAAACTATTAGCTACCTCGGATGATCCTGTTTCTGGGGGCTGGAGTCCCAGGCACGGCAGCAGGATCTCCTGGCCCGAGCCTCTTCTCTGAGGAGAAGGAAGTTTTTGTCCCAAAAGACCAGGCAGCTCCCAGGACCTCTTACCTGGACCAGCACTGCTTAAACATCGCTGCTCCCCCAACTTCAGTGGCACTAATCCTTGTCTCATCCATACCCGCCAGTGGCCTCTGCAGCTTACCAGACATAGTACAGCCAGAGAAATGCACAAGTGCACCTCTGCTGCTTGCTGTGTGGCTTCTTTGTGCCAAGGCTTCCGGGAGCCTCTTTCTAGATCCCCAGAGGTCTCTGAGCCCCAGGTTAAGAACACCCAAGTCTCTATCCTAGCCTTGAGTTCCAGGCCCTTTTCTCCTGATGGCTCATAGGCAGTTAAAAAAACCCTACAATTTTATTTATTTATTTATTTTTAAAGATTTCATTTTTCCTTTTTCTTCCAAAGCCCCCCGTACATAGTTGTGTATTTTTAGTTGTGGGTCCTTCTAGTTGTGGCATGTGGGAGCCCAGAATTCAAACTGGTCAAACCCTGGGCTGAACTTCACTACCCAGCCACGGGGCTGGCCCCCCTACAGCTTTATTGGGATAATTTGCATAGCCATGCGCCGCATAACGACGTTTCAGTCAACGATGGACCACATATACGACGGTGGTCTCATGAGATTAGTACCATGTAGCCTAGGTGTGTAGTAGGCTGTACCATCTTGGTTTGTGGAAGTGCACTCTATGGTGTTCGCACAACGACGAAATTACCAGAATGTATCCTGTTGTTAAGCAACACACAACTGTATATTCAGAGTGCAACCATCACCATGTCTAATTCCAGAACACTTTTGTCACCTTAGGAAACCCCATCCCCCTTAGTAGTCGAGTATCCATTTCCCGCGACACGTCCCTGCCCACCCACCCACTCATCTCCTTTCTGTCTTTGGATTTGCCTGTTCCAGACATTTCATCTAAATGGAACTATATGATATATGACCTTTTGTGTCTGGCTTTTTTTTTATTGTTTTAATTTTATTGAGGTCGTAATGGTTTAGAACATTGTGTAATTTCACGTGTACGTGATTATATATCGGTTTCTGTACAGACTGTGTCGTGTTCACCACCAATAGTCTAGTTTTTGTCAGTCACCATACGTATGTGCCCCTTTACCCCTTTCACCCTACCCCAACCCCCTTCCCCTATGGTAACCACCAGTCTGTTCTCTTTGTCCATATGTTTATCTTCCACATATGAGTGAAATCAATTTGGTGTTTGTCTTTCTCTGTCAGACTTTTTTTGCTTATCATAATACTCTCAAGGTCCATCCATGTTGTTGCAAATGGGATGATTTTGATTTTGTCTTTTTTTTAATTTTATTTTTTTTTCGAGGAAGATTAGCCCTGAGCAAACATCTGCTGCTAATCCTCTTTTTGCTGAGGAAGACTGGCCCTGAGCTAACATCCATGCCCATCTTCCTCTACTTTCTGTGTGGGATGCCTCCCACAGCATGGCTTGACAAGCGGTGCCATGTCCGCACCCGGGATCCAAACCCGTGAACCCTGGGCTGCCGAAGCAGAACATGCGAACTTAACCGCTGTGCCACTGGGCTGGCCCTGGTTTTATCTTTCTTAATCTTTTTTATGACTGAGTAGTATTCCATTGTGTGTGTGTGTGTGTGTGTGTGTGTGTGTGTGTGTGTGCGTGCATATATATATATATATATATATATGCACGCACACACGCACACTGCATCTTTATCCATTCTTCCATTGATGGGCCTTGAGTTGCTTCCATTTCTTGGCTATTGTGAATAATGCAATGAACATAGGGGTGCATACATCTCTTTGAATTGTTGATTTCAAGTTCTTTGGATAAATACCTAGTAGTGGAATAGCTAGATCAGATGGTATTTCCATTTTTAATTTTTTGAGAAATCTCCGTGTTGTTTTCCATAGTGGCTGCACCAGTTTGCACTCCCACCAGCAGTGTATGAGGGTTCCCTTTTCTCCACATCCTCTCCATCACTTAGTATTTCTCATCTTGTTAATTATAACCATTCTAACGGGCGTAAGGTGATCTCTTAGTGTAGTTTTGATTTGCATTTCCCTGATGATCAGTGATGTTGTCTTTTCATGTGCCTATTGCCCATGTGTATATCTTCTTTGGAAAAATGTCTTTTCACATCCTCTGCCCATTTTTTGATCGGGTTGTTTGTCTCTTTTGTTGTTGTGTTGTACGAGTTCTTTATATATTTTGGAAATTAACCCCTTGTCAGATATATGATTTGCAAATATTTTCTCCCAGCGGGTGGGTTGTCTTTTTGTTTTGTTCATGGTTTCGTTTGCCTTGCAGAGGCTTTTTAGTCTGATGTAGTCCCATTTGTTTATTTTTTCTTTTGTTTCCCTTGCCTGAGTTTGTATCTGCCTGAGTTTCTTCATTTATCGTAGTGTTTTCAAGAGTCATCCATATTGTAGCATGGATGAGTACTAAGTTTCTTTTTATTGCTGAGTAATATTCCATCGTATGGCTTTACCACATAATATTTATTCAGTCATCAGTCGATGGGCACTTGGGTTGCTTCCACCTTTTGGCTATTGTGAATAATGCTGCTGTGAACATGGGTGTACAAATAGCTGTTTGAGTCCCTGCTTTCAATTTTTGGGGGTATATACCCAGAAATGGAATTGCTAGATCATATGGCAATTCTCTTTAACTTTTTGAGGAGCTGCTGAGCTGTTTTCCACAGGGGCTATACCATTTTACATTTCCACCAGCAATCTAAGAGTGTTCCAATT